GGATCCCCTGGAACTGCTGTTACTAACAGTTGTGCACTGCCATGTGGGTGCTGGAAACTGAACCTAGGTCCTCTGGAAGAGCATCAAGTGCTCTTAGCCTCCCCTCCCCCCATGTTTTTGTCTGCAAAGGAGGAAAAGGAAACTTGCTTTTGGCTCCATACAATCTGTGCTGACTTAAAATTTAAATCCTTGCTCCATGAGCATGTGCAACGTGATAACTGAAGACTCAGAAAACTCGATCACCTTTCTACTACAGCACAGGGAGCCTTGTGGGGAGGTAAGCGTCCAGCTGCTCACCACTGACTGCAGGAACTCATTAAACTGTGTCCAGGAAGCCTGGCTGCCTAGGGAAGATAAGGACAGCCACCTGCCTGGGTACAGTGGACAGCCAGGAAGCCCCATTCATGGTGTCTACTGCCCTCGGAGATGAGTGACACTGAGCGGGAAGTGAGACCAAGGGGGTCATAAACTGGCTGTATAAAAATCGATAGCCGCCTCAAGCACAGGCAGATCTGATAAGGACACAGAATGCAAATGACCATGGGCCCATGCCAGGGCCTCATGTGTCAACCAATATCCTCACTGCAGGGCATATCTAGACACAATGAGCAGTGATTATATGTGTCATTTATTTTTTATAATTACACGTTTTTGTGAAGGCCCTGACAGGTAGACCTAAGATGGAAGACAACAGCCCTGAAATGTCTTGCTGGCCATCCTGACCATGCCCTTGTGAAGTCTGCTGCCAATCTATCCAGATGTTTCATTTTTGACAGGTTGCTAAAATAGCTTCTGCCGGTTTCAACATCAGTCATCCGGAGATCTGTGCCAATTCGTAGCCATGGTTCTGGATAGAATATAAATAATATAACACCTTCAAATATCTTTAATATAGAAACAGTTGCCAGGCGGTGGTGGCAAAACCTTTAATCCCAGAGGCAGGGGGATGTCTTGAGTTCAAAGCCAGGCAGAGGCAGGGGCATCTCTGAGTTCAAGGCCAGCTTGGTGTATGGAGTGAGTTCCAGGACAGTCAGGGCTACAGAGAAACCTTGTCTCGAAAAACCAAACCAAACCAGTCAAGTGGCATTTTAAAAGTTCAGTTTTTTAAAACTGCCCTCAGAACCTGTTAAAATGTTTCACTTGGTTCTGTCTGAGCAATCACTCAGACTTACTTCCCTCCTCCCGTCCTCCCCACATACAATTGTAAATCAACGGAACCTGAGTCCTTAAAACCCACAGGAAACAAAACCAGTTTCAAGCAGGTGAGGAGAAACAGAGAAAGAACAAGACCTAATTATAGTCCTCGGCGAAAACTGGTATTAATTTTCATATTTAATCATCTGCTCATGTACAGCTTTGTAATTTATTCTGATACTTCTGTACTGAGCATGTAAACGGTGCCACTTGGTACCCTAATCATACAGGAAGCAGACTGTGGCGGTTCCTTTCAACAAAGCCTAGCTTGGCCTTCCATACAGCTGTGATGACACAAGAGATAATAACAGCCCCCTCCATATGAGGGGGAACCGATCAAACTCCAATTTGGGGGTCAACTAGAGTCCAGCTTAAGCTAGTTAGGTTCTGTTTAGGTTCACACTACTGTGGCAAAATCCCATCTAAAACATCTTATCTGTAGAGGCGGGAAGCTAAGACTTAATTTCTCAGCTAACCCACGGATCCCATCTGTATCTTTACCCCTGGTCTGGGTGTTAACTGTGCATGCATGCCACACGACAGTTTCTATCTGTCAACATTCATTTTCCTTTAATTTCTATTTATATTCTGCTCTCCAAGTTTCAGCCTGTTCTAAAGAAAGAACTTCAGTGACGAGTAGTGTGACACCAAGTCAGCTATTTAAGACTTCAGGTGCTCACATCAGCCTCTGCTCTCTGGTGCCGCCTTGCATTTGGGGAGAATAGTTAAGCTACAGTTTTTTAAATGCTGCGATTCTTTGAAGAGAGATTACATAAAGGAAGGCTACAGTGGTGGAATTTGATCCTTAGCTGACAAAGCTGAGATCAAGAACAGCCAGACCTGAGGTGAGGCCAGGGTCTTCACTGATACTGATATGAAGCTACCAAAGACCCTCCTGACTTGAAAGCTGGCTTTCGGCTTGGCTGGGCCGTTCTGCAGACAGATGCTAGGATGATCACCTCCAAAGCAGGAGTGATTCCCATGAGGCCCGACTCAGGCTGACAGGCATTGTCGTTTTATCCCGATTCCTAAACTCAAGGTGGTTCCAGGATTACAGACATAGAAAACCTTGTGGGCTGAGACCTTCCTACCCATGTTCTTAGCCTGTCCTTCACTGAGAATGAGTGTCCCTTAGAAAACTTTACAAAAACAACCGTTCTAGAACATACACAGAAATGATACTCTCCAGTCGTCCAGAAGGGAATGGATCCTTCATATTGTCTAGGGAGAAGTGGCAGCCTGTACTTTGGAAAAGCCCTCTAGCCAGGATTTCACAAGCCCTAAAACCACCTACTCTGCTTCTAAAAAACGGGGAGTGGGGGAGGGGGATCACATTTTTCTGGATTCTTCTTGCTGTCTTTTATGTTTGGTTGATAGGTCATTTAACTGTTTTCTTAGTATGTTTCTGTATTTTTATAATATATTACAATAGATATCATTTATTATTCCTTGTCTTCAGTAAAAATTATTTAAAAACAGTAAATATAAAATATACCTTGTCCAAAACAACTTTTATTCAGAAGTGTGTAATATGAAATGTGGAGAGACCATCTTCAGGAACCAGTTTTGTTTTCTAAAAAAAGTATTTTCGAAAACTCCATATACCTTAACAATAGTTTTCTAATGACCCAGGGTTTGGAGACTTCATTTTAAAAAGCCCACATCACGTGCACAGCAATTGCTTATAGGCCGTGACTCAGCAGAACCGGAAGCCGCCCTGGACGTCCTTTCTCACTCCGCAGACCGCCATGGCCTGTGAGTCAGCACTAAAGCCCTGGGCCTTCCTTCCACGCTGCCTGGAATCCCGTTATCTGATGAAATACTCCTTTTCTCCATTTTACAGCAGGGCACGTGAGCGAAATTCTAGGTCACGCGGGAGTACCCTGGGAATAGAAGTCGCTTTTATAGCTTTCTGGCCCAAACCACATACTTTTTCTAGATCCACACGAAGTATCATTTCACGGTGCTTTCTGCAGGGCTCTCGGGAGGCGGGGCTACATCCAAAGCCTTCTGGCCATTGCTCCCTAACCCAGTCCCTTCCATAGGGAAGGCGCAGTACTTCGCAGGGGTATCAGAAGCTTTGAAAGTGATTTACAGAAGAGCTTACAGAAGATCTGAAGTAGGCTCGTTAGAGCCGAAATGCTGTCACCACAGGCAAGGGAGCAGCATTTTAAGTGCATAACCCCCAAGAACTGGGATTTCCAAGTGTTGCCATCAGATGACAAACACCTTCAGCGAGGATTAAAGCTCCTCCTGTTGACCGTTCTCGGTGTTTGCTAACTGCTGTGGAGGCCCCGATCTTCCCCAGGAGGCCGAGAGGAAGGTTTGACCATCTGCCTGGGTTGCTACTGGGAAAAGGAGGAACGTAAGGAGGAGGGACCCAGCGAAAGGGGCTTAGGTCACCAGGGATACACCCTGAAGGAGGAGGGGCTTAGGTCACCAGGGATACGCCCTGGAGGAGGCGGGGCTTAGGTCACCAGGGATACACCCTGAAGGAGGGGCTTAGGACACCAGGGATACACCCTGAAGGAGGGGGGGCTTAGGTCACCAGGGATACA